TATGTATGTATGTATGTATGTATGTATGTATGTATGTATATAGCGTATTAGAGAAACAAGCCTATAGGAAACATTGATAATTAGAAAGCAAATACATGTCGAGCTTGAAGTTGCTTTTGTTCAAATTAGCGTTATTAAGCATTATCGTTAACCGTATCGCTTACTCGCTATGCGAAAATTACAAAAAACAGGACGTTGATTCATTGGCGTTTGAGTTTTGATCGTCTGGTATTGGCTATGTTCCCGTTTTTAAGGTATAAAATCGTGGCAAAATGACAGTGACCTTAGATATTTTAAAACGCCGTTGGAAGTGGATATTTCAGAACATTGCCAGTCGAATCTTCAGCGACGAGAGTCAGCGCGGTAAGACAGTGAGGTGGAGCTGGTGGAACTAACGCTTCCAAAGGTGGTCGAGAGCCTGGGAATTGTCGAGAACCGACTACCATTCCACCAGATGTTTCTCTAAGCTCTATTACTCGTACTCCGAAACGTGATCTTACGACGTTCCTATAAACAAAAGCAAATATATCGTTTCTCAAATTGTAATAGCGTCAAAATACACTGGGTAGAGGCGAGTGATTGGTATTGGTGGATCAGTGTTTGAAGAGAAATGTCATACCTCTTTCCATCGTACTCGATGTCATGGAAAGGTCGATTATAAACGTTGTCCATTTCGCTGTTGAACCATCGATGATAAGCAAGAAAGGCAGCGCAAGACGGTGACCAAAACGTACGATCAGTTTGCAGATTGGAAGCAGTTTGTTCCGATGCTGGCTGCATGAGACTCTTGGAGAAGGATCTGTTTAGTTCTGGACTAGCAGGTGCAGACAGTCTGCCTGCGAGCAATCGCGAAGGACTTTGAGAAGACGAGGGTCGGGACGATTCAGAAAGTAGGCGATTTCTTCGAGGACTCGCTAACATGGCATACGGTTCTTGTATCGTGACTGTCACGCTGAGTGATCTGCTTAGTGCGATCGTCGTGTGCTGAGGATCTCTTCGTAAAACAGGGTTGCGATTGAAATCGATCCCAGCCGCCCCGACAAAGACACGATCGACGTAATCGAACCCGCGGCCCATTATGCCTTCGCGAGTGTGGCCGAGATTAAAAGTGTGCCCAAGTTCGTGGAGAACTGAGCCAAGAGTCGTGGCCAGGCATCCGCCGTGAGTACCACGATAATTACTATCGTCCATCAGTTGTTCGGTATCGATGACCGTGGCATCGAGGAATCTGGACAGTACTTGTGCCATGCAGGTAGGCCACGTGTGAAGACAAGCCGAGCCGAACAACGCCAATCCGCCTCCGCCGAGCGCGGCGTGTCCTTGCGTCCTCGCGAGGATGTCTTCGTGAGTGCGCGGATTCGGCGCGCCTCGATATCTCGTGCAGGAAAGGAATGCGAGATACTTGCGATCTTTCGATGCCAAGGGGCCGGTCATCAATTCTCGCGCGATCAATTCCCAAAGTTCCCGCTGATTCATCGCACGCGCTCGATCGACATCGAGCATGCTGTGCATTACCAAACATTCCGCGCCGTCCAAGTCTCGTTCCAGTTGAAACGTTTTCCTTCCGTAACCGGCTTCCCTTAACTTCTCGGCCGTGAGCGTTTGCAAGAGTCGGGCACCGAGACCTATCCTTGTCGCGGCACTTTCCGGCGATCGGTCCTCCCTTCGTGGACCTTGGAAGTATCCATCGTGTCCCGCACAGATCACATAGACGGGCGTTACGCGTAGTCTCGTCGTTCTCGGCTCGTAAATTAGAACCAGTCCCTTCTTCTGACCTGCCACTTCCAACTCCAACTTGTTCGGACCTCGTGACAATTCTACTATCGCACGAAATTCACCGGAGACGATCGGCCACTTGGAGCTTTGGTTCTTTTCATTTCGTACGGTGATGAAGCTATATGCCATCGAGGCGCGACCTCGTATCAGGGCTAAACTGTAACACAAGCTCTCTCCGTCCGCTACGTTCGTCAACGTTATCTCTTCGGAATTCCGATTTTCCGTGGACTTGCATTGCCGACTATCCCGTTCTAATGGAAATTGTCTATTACCTTCGTAGTAACATTTACGCTGGCATCGTTGCTGATCTTGTTGTTGTTGCTGCTGCTGCTGCTGTTGCTGTTGTTGCTGCTGTTGCTGCTCGTGAAGAAGATTTGTCAAATTCGTGTCGGCAAGTACCTGCGAAGGTTTTTACGTACAATTTCAAGATGCATTGTGTTAAATGATAAGAAATGTTAGCAAGACGAGGATCTCGAGGGTCTCGAACTAGGAACGGCGAACGATGACAACGGTGAGGACGACGGTGACGACGATGAGGACGATGACCACGACGACGAGGATAGAAATGAAGACGACGATGAAGACGAAGACGAAGACGATGTTGTTACCCCCTTTGAGACGGAAGAATAACGTTTAA